CTAATCTTCGGAAATCTGGGTGAGATTTTTCCATTTTTTTTACTGTTTTTCTTCGAGAGATCGACTGATTAATTGATCAATACAAGGAACTGTATATTATATTATAAACAATGCCGAGAAGGAGGAGCAAAGCTAGTGACGAGGCGCACAATGGTGATTTATCGGACGTTAACAATAAAATTGAAAATTTAGTTATAGGTTTAGCAAGTCTACAACAAACTGTTTCTAATTTAGCTGAAAGTTTACAAACTATAAATAATAGAACTAGTGGAAATCAACCAGAACACGACGAGAGCAAAATAAATAATCCAAATCTAACAGTTTTATCCGAGCCTGTACACTCTTTGGCGGTACAGTCAAATAATAAATCATACATCTCTCATTGGCGTGATCTGAGGGGTGGAAACTTAACTTTTTATCCGAACTCCAAGGTTCATCCCATGACATTTTTAAAAAAACTAGATAAAATTTTTATTGAAGCGGGTGTACCCGAGGAATGTAAAAACAGTCTTGCTATGACTTGTCTCAGAGGCGCCGCAGCCGACTGGGCTTCTCTTAAAGAAGAAACATTTAATAATTTCAGAGATTTTCAAGATGCTTTTGTAAGTAGATTCTGGGGGGTAGATAAACAACGAGAATTGTACCTAGAATTAAACTACGGTCGCTTTGAGCAGGGTGAAAGGGCCGAATATTTTTTGAATTTAATATCGCAAGCAAATTTTCTAACGGAAACGATCCCGTCTTATAAATTGATCGAGATGATTTCCAAACACTTTCCGGCGGAAATACAACGCGGAATTATCACAAGCGGATTCGCGACTATTGAGGAAGTCGAAGGTTATCTAAAAAAAATTGACGAAACGTATAAAAGTGATTCTATAAACAGGGGCGTGCGTCGTAATTATAACACGAATAGGGGAAGGGAAAATAATGCTCCTATAGTGAAATCTGATCCTATTTCAAGAAATGAAAATCACGACGTAAGGTATATAACAAAATTCAACGAGGATCCTGACACTTTGTTATCCGATCCGGGGGAAGATATTGAGGAGTCAGAGACTCTAGCACCCTCTATAAAAGTTACTATAGGGCAAGAGTCTGTCACAACACTGCTAGACAGTGGATCAGACGTATGCGCGATATCAGAGGAGTTTTTCGAAAACATTAAAACTTTTGTCGGTACTAATATACCGTTGTTGCCGGTCACAAATGTAAACATTCATGTAGCTATCGGTGGAAAGACGCAACGCGTAAAACAACAAATATTTTTACCTATAACCATAAATGAGCAGGCGATGGACGTCACTTGTTTGATAATCCCTAAATTAAATTGCAATTTGCTTTTTGGTTCTGATTGGTTGTCTAAATACAAAGCGATTGTCGATTTTGAAAAATCACAACTCAATTTAAAGGTCAACGACCAAATCTTAGTTTTAAAAATATCGTACAAATTAAAAGCAAGCGATATATGTATTAACTTGTGTAAAAGTAATGAATACGCGGCTATCCCGTCCCCCTTACCAGTTACAGTAGGTGCGCCGATGACCCGGCACGAGTATTCCGAAAACGACCTGCAAGCTGCTGCAAGTTCGGTAAAGGGTGACGCAATCAGTAGACAATGTTTATTGCAGGTATTAGTCGAAAATAAAAACGTGTTTTCAGAGTGTCCTGGAACGGTGGTGGGATACTCACACGATATTGAGTTAAACGACTATTCTTCGTTTAATATTCCTTCATATCCGATTCCCTTCATATATAGGAAGGAAGTAGAAAGACAAATAGGCGAGATGCTCGCGTGGGGGGTGATAAAGAAAGAGAAAACCTGCTATGTTTCACCGCTTGTTTGCGTTACTAAAAAAGATAAAAGCGTGAGAGTTTGTCTAGATGCAAGAACTTTAAATTCAAAAATGAAAAAAGATTATATAAATCCTCCGAATATTAACGAATTATTTTTAGAATTTAAAAAGGGTCAAATATTTAGTTCAATAGACTTAACTGCAGCTTATTGGCAAATAAAAATAAACGAAGCGCATACAAAATACTTGGGATTTGTTTTCGGATCAGAAACTTATACGTTTTGCAAATTACCTTTCGGGCTGTGTACTTCGATGGCCAGTCTCGTTAGATGTGTGAATAAGGTGCTAGAGGAAGAATGTAAACAATTTACGCATGTTTATGTAGATGATTTGCTCGTTTTTTCGGACAATATTGAGAATCATTTAAAACATTTAGATGCTGTGTTTAAAAAATTAAATGCATCAGGTTTTACTGTTAAACTTCGCAAATGCCAATTTATAAAGGAAGAAACACCTTTCGTGGGACATATTATTACGAGGGAAGGTCTGAAAATAGACCCAAGACGAACCGAAATTATTAAAAAATTTCCTCGTCCGCGCAGCATAAAAGAGTTGAGAGGATTTCTAGGGCTTGTTAATTACGAGCAACGTTTTTGTAGTCGTTATGGGGATCTTACTTTGCCACTATTAAAATTATTAAGAAAAAATATAAAATGGGAGTGGGGTGATATTGAGAATGAAGCTTTCGAAGCTATCAAAGAGGCTTTTATCGAGGCGGTCTTAATACATCATCCGAATCCGGCTGGTACTTTTTATATTCAATGCGACAGTTCCGCGTTCGCGATTGGGGGTTGCTTATTTCAGTACTCCGAGGAAAATGAAAAATTAATTATTGCATATACAAGTTCCACTCTTAAGGGAAGTCAATTATCATACACGGTGACCGAAAAGGAAGCATTTGCTGTGGTACATTGTCTAAAACAGTGGCGTACCTTAGTACTGGGGCGTCCTTTAATTATTCGGTCTGATCATAAATCGTTAAGCTTTCTTCTTACGTGTAAATTGCGCTCCTCACGGCTAACTCGGTGGACGATACTAATCCAGGAGTTTGATTTCGACATGGAATTTTGTACCGGGTCACAGAATGTCACGGCGGATGCACTGTCGAGGGTTAGAGGGGAAATAGAGGAAGTTAGGCCAAGTGTGGGTAAGGATGTGAACATTTGTCTTTTAAAAATGACGAATGATTTCGAAACTCTAAAGGACAATTTTAAGAATCTTCGGCAAGATCAGTTAGCCGAGGAATGGATTCAGAAAAAGGTATCTTTCTTAGAAAATAGTCCCAATAAGGAATCTAAAATTACAAAATGGTACATGTTGCATGAGGGGTTGTTGTTTAAAAGGGGTGATTCTAAAAATCCGGGGTTTAAGCTTTGCGTGCCTCGACCTCAGTGTAAAGACTTAATATTAGCGCATCACAATGGCTTAGGGCACTTTGGGAAAACAAAGACATATCTTTATATGCGTCAGTTGTTTTTTTGGCCCAAAATGATGAAACATGTGAGACAGATAGTAGCTTCATGCGAACTATGCCAAAAGGCTAAATCCGTTTCTGCTAATAAGGGATTATTAAATCCGGTCATAGTTAAAAAACCGGGAGATCTGGTATGCCTGGACCTTATAGGGCCTCTGCCCAAGGGAAGAGGGGGGGTTGTTTTCCTACTGGTATTGGTAGACGCATTCTCTAAATTTGTGAAATTATATGCCCTCCGAAATGCAACTGCAAGGGCTATTTTAGCTAAACTTTTTAAGCATTATATTCCTGAGATTCAGAAACCGAGAAGTATTTTATCAGACAACGCGTCTCAATTTACCAGCCGCGAATGGGCGAAGAAGTTATCAGATGCTGATATTAAAATTAAACTTATCTCTGTATATTTTCCTCAAGGGAATATGACCGAACGTTACAACAAAGAAGTAGTTCGATTACTTCGATCCTACTGTCATGAAAAGCATACTAAATGGCCTGACATGTTACCGTTCGTTGAGGAATGCTTAAATAATATTATTAGTTTAACCACAGGATATTCTCCAACTTATTTACAGACCGGGGTTCACAAACCATTCCCTGTTCTACAATATTTGAGTTTTCCGGAAGATTTAACTGTCAATCCGCGGGAACGTGTTTGGGAACTTGCGTACGACAATTTAAAAACTAAGGCCGAAAAGAGAGCCGAAAAAATTAACAAAAATATTCGCCCTACCACCTTCAGTCCAGGAGACCGAGTGTTAGTCCGGGCTCATTACCAGTCGTCCGCGGCCGACAAGTCTATAAAGAAATTCTTCTTGTTATATGAGGGTCCTTTTTATATAATCAGAAATGCGGGACCTAACTCTTATGTCATTGGGGACGAAAATGGGGTCGAGATCTCGAAACAGAATATTGTCAATCTTAAGCTTTTCAAGGCTATGCCTGAAATTTTGTAATTTTCACGGTGTTACTTCACTGTATCGATCATTTTTTATCTTGATGTTTTGTTTAATTTAAAGGTAAGATTATTTTTTTTGTTGTTTTGTTTTCCTGCCACTATGGTAGTAGTTGTTATTTTGTAACTTAAACACTAATGTATGTTACTAGTATTTAAGTTGGGGGGTAGTGCAGTGGTCCGTCCCAAACGCGCGCCTATGTAATAGTGACGCGAGGATATGTGCGCGGGAGCTACGTGTGGTGCACGGAAAACGGTCGAAGCGGGCAGTCTCGTCTGAACTGCAAGGGAGTGAGGGTTCAGCGTGACGACAATAAACGTTAACCTTTCGTTGTTTGTGAGATATAAGTTTTTTTATTGTCTTATTTGGCAATATAAATAGTTCTATACCCAGTGTGTGTGTTCTTTCAAACCTCAGAACCCATCTTAACATCGAACCACTTCAAGCTAGGACATTATATACATGCGCTCATCTTGCTAGTGTTGTATGGTTTTTAGGATATTCTAGACATCATCAGAATATAAAATTTCCTTCAATCAAATTTTTGAAATTGTATCCATGATACTCTAAAAAGAAAATATAATATTACGCAGAGGCGGAGCTTTTAAAGCCGACGATTGATACAGAAATTTTGTTTACATTGTCATTTGACTTTTTATATCGCAACCTGTGTTAATTTGTGTAACTTAGCCTCGTGTTGATAGTATTATTTGAAGATTATGTAAGAGCTATTACGTTAATTTGTAAAGTGTTTAATTCTTCAACCAATGTGTATCGACTAAACTAAAATAATTAGGCTGTCTATTCGTTTCGAAGCGAAACAATTGGCAATTTTCTTACCTGCAATATTCATTGAAGGTGAGGACATAACACTTATCATCGATACATGCCACACTGTTCGAATCTTTATGTCGTGATGCAAAAACTTCATCCGATTGATCTGTAGGTAACCTTCCTTGTTCTGTATGCTCTGGTCGATAGTACCACAACAAAGACATCATCATCTCACCTAAAATCAAATTATTTGTTTAACTTATATTAATCAAAGAACAATTAAAATTTAATTTCCTGTAAAAATTATATAATTATAGGACATATGAAAAACTTTTTTATTGTTAATATTAGGAAAAAAGTTATTCTTCATAAAAAGTAGAGCATGGTCTAAAACCTAAAACACAACCATCAGATATCAAATTTCATTAGTCGTATACGAGGTTTGTCAAAAATAAAGGTACTTTAGTCTTCAGCAAAAATCATATTTTTTGACAAACCTCGTATACGGACGGCTTGAATAAAAATTGATATTTGATGGTTGCATTTTAAGTTTTGGATCATGCAGAACTTTATCAGGAATAATTTTTTTCACAAAACCAATAATAACAAAGTGTTCCATATGGTTCCAACACATTGTATATTATGGATTTCAAACTATTTTACAATATTACAGTTTTCTTAATATTGTTAGTTTAAAAGGTAAAAAACAAATAGAAAGGAAAAATTATGGAATCCATTTCAAAAAATTCAAATAGAGCAGGATGATACCAGCAAAAATCATTATATGTTGCAAAGCACACTAATGTACCCAAAATAATTATTACAAGATGTACAAATTAGTCACTAGTGATACCGTTGAATATCAAGGGAAACAGTACAACTATGTCAGACAACGTATGCAATTCAGACTTATTGAATAATTGGAAAAACATGTCTGTGCATTTTAAATGTTATTTAAGTTGCAGCAAATATGTTACAGGATGCATCAATAAATTCACAATAAATTTACAAATTTACATATAGTGCCTAATTTTATTGCTCGATATTTCAATTTGTGTTATAGATACGTAAACAAATGTCAAATATATATGATTTTGAAAAAGCATACTTTAAAAATATTTTTGGATATACAGTGGTGGGCGTTTCATTAGCAATTAAAAAATAAATTAATTGAACACCCTGTATTTTATTTCAGTTTTTAAAAAACATTGCATATTTGCCAAGAAATTAATTTTTTTTGAAAATTTGGAGAATGTTGCAGTATGTAGGTTTAGAAATACACCGACAGCCTCTATGGAAATCATTCTAAACCTCCCACCCATTGACCTAGTCATAAAAGGGGAGGCCAGAATGAGTGCATACAGGCTGGATATCTCCAACAACTGAAACCCACTGGGAAATATAAAACATACCGGAACAGCACATGAAGTAAATGATCCAATATTAAATATGGGATCAGATCACAGACCAACCCGCCTTACTTCCAGATCTACTAGAACGATGTAAATCAGGAAGTAGACAAATACTTGCTTAGGGGTTTTGTAATGGTATATGGATGGATCTAAAACTAACAGGGATCAGGTTCTGACGTACATGGAGTTAAATCCAAAATCGCCGTCTCTCTGGGAAAACATACCACTGTGTTTCAGGCTGAAATACATGCAATCGAGTTGTATGTATGAGAGCATTTAAGAAGAAAGTACAAAAAACAAACCATCTTAATTCTCTCAGACAGCCAAGCAGTTTTAAAGGCCCTTGGCTCAAACAAAACAAGTCAAAGCCAGTCTGGAACTACCTTGGAATATTTAATGCTCTGACAACCCACAATAAGGCAAAACTCAGGGGGAGATATCGCACATGGTGTCATGGCGACAACGACGTCATGCGTAGAGTTAGTAGAATTGGCGCGAAGTAAATAACATATGACTGATGCACATTGCACATTGTTTTTTCGCTTTCCTCGACAGTAAAAGGTTTGTCAGAAGTGAGCAGTGGCCAGGGGCCGTGCAGATAAGTTTAAACAGAAACCTTCCGATTATAAGAGGGATCTCAAAGTAAAACTTCTCATTGGTTCATTCGCAACTCGGGACTTCCCAACTGGGGACTTTACCCTTCTGAAGACTGAAAATTTTTGCAGCTCGGGACTCGATACATTTCTACAGAAATCGCAACTGGGGACTTGTTTAAGCAACCTTAGCAAATGGATAAGCATAGGAGAATTTTTCAATACAGGAAATAAATCTATCCGAAATAATATTCCAATGATCTTAAACTGTGAACTAATATAATTTAATTATAACATAGTTATTGTTTAAAAAATAATTTTCAAATTGTTTCAACTAATGCATACAGGGAAAATGCGAAAATCCGAATGCATATAAGAAAGTGCTTTGCTTTTTGTCATACGTTCTATACGAAAACGTAGATTATGGATGCTTGAGTAGAACTCGCTTGAAGGTAAGCATAACCACTTAAATAAATTATCAAAAATACATCCCAATTTATTGAACTTATATTTATAGAAACATTAAAAGAGGAATCTCGTAAGTACGAAAATATACCTAAAGTGATACCAAAAAATAAAAATAAAATTGCGACATGTTGTACTCAATGAAAGAATCAAGAAACTGTCAGTGAACATGTCCAGGAAAAATGCAGTCACATTTTATATTAATTTTGTATATACACCTACCATGTACAGTTATTTGTATTTGGTAGGTACATTATTTTTATGCTTTGTATTATACATATGAAAAATATTTTTTAAAAATCTATTTCTGTTATGTTACTTATACATAAATCCCATCTTTTTAATAGAACAGTAGTTAAGTATATTCAATTGGGTAATATAATTCAGGTCTCTAGGTCACCAGTTGCGAATTTTAATCAGGTAAACATTTTCGGCGTGCCCAGATGTGAAGCTGTTGCGCAGATACCCTTCTCATTATTCTGGTTATAGAAATTATTCTTTAGAAGTCGAATATTCTTCAAAATTAAAAACCTGAATTCAAATTTGTATAACAAACATAAATCATAAATCAACTGTTACTTAAAATAAATATTTCTTTTATGTATATTTTGCATTTATTTTTCTTTATAGCTCTTTCCTTAACTATCCCATAATAATATCCTTGGATATTTTATGTAATTTTCAAAATATTATCCTTTAATATTCATGAAATTTCTGTAAACAGCATATTTTTCTCAACTTAGTCATAATTTTTAAATTCGCGCCTATACAACCTCTACGCGTGACGTCATGAGCGTGGCCGACCTATTTTTGACATTGTTGATATCCTACCTTTTCCTTTTTATACCATTGGTAAAACTAGCGTGGGTCCAGAACATAAAGGTATCCGAAAAATATGAAATGGCTGATGAACTCGCCAAAGAGAAATGAGAATTACCATTTACAGGATCAGAACCTGTATTTGGGATAAGCAAAACCTTTCCTCGGCAGGCAGTGAACATGTGGATAAGCACTAAACACCAAACTCATTGGCAACAGTTAAGAGGACACAGACTCAGTAAGCTCATGCTAAGGAGACCAAACCCACCCCTTGGCTGCTGAGGTTCTGCAGCTCGCAACGCCTCAGATATTCACCATTGTAACTAACGGGACACTGCCTGCTCACAAACACTTTCATGTGATAGGAGTGTGCAATGTACACCTGTAGACTCTACATGAAAGCGGAAGAAACCTCATACCATGCCATTTTCGAATGCGAAACGAGTCACCTCTTTTTTGTCTAGAACCTTTAATAACATCTCAGGACTTGCTAGGGAACCTAGTAAAACTAACCAAAAGCACAGGACTATACGAAGCTATTATTTAATACGGGGAAAGCAAGGGAATAGAATAGACACAAGATGCAGTAGTGTTCTGGGCTAAATGTAACCCTACCTGATAATAAATGACAAAGAAAAAGATAAATGTAGGTTAGAAATGATTTTAAAGTTGTTTAAATTACAGACTTAGGTATGACATACCTGGCTAACGAATAGTGATGATAGAAATGGTCCGTTTTATAACGAGTGTTTTGAAACCTGTCATACATGTAGCTTATCTTAAGTACCATTTACTCAATTTTTTCAAATGCAATACCTTGTACATTAACATGTCAGCCTATTATACATATGTTAGCGGTGTACCCTTGCTATCCACTACATAATGTCGTAGTCTATACACATATGGGTGTCAAGATGAACGAACGGGAAAATAAAGACCAGAGCAGTAAGCAGTACGCCAATAGAATGTGGCAGTACCACACCAACATTGTATTTGAGAATACTTGATCGTGAATTGAACTATTTAAAGTTAATTGGGAATGAATCATCCCTGTGTTTAACATCCCTTCTGTTAACACAATACACAGGGTCAGTCCATAATTGATCCATATAGCTATTTTATTATTGGAAATAGGCAGGCATTTTTCATACCTACTGTTGGCGGCCATCATTTTAAAATAGCAAATAATAATTTCGTTATTTCTTAAAAACGGTCTAAGAAAACATTTATTAGCCCTATATATACCATGAGTCCATAACAATATGAATTTTCATCAAGTAAAGGCCGTATCAATCATTTTTTATTTGTTACACAAAAGCGTAACACTGTATATCTAGATATTGTTTATTAAGTATTTTTTAATGTCAAATTAATATCAGTTTTATTTGAAACTTATTGGCATGTCTATATTACGGTTAAGGTGTTTATAGATTTATAGTTTATAGATTAGCTGGACACCATACAAACTATCCAAATGTCTGGCCATTTTGAAGGAAAATCATATTTCTACAGAAATAGCTATGAATATTGGTTGAAATAGTTTAGAATATTGGTTGGTTTGCATATTATCCAGCTAGTTTACAAACTATACAAGATTTACCGCAAATGTACAAACCACAAGAAAAGTGCAAAAATTAACCAGTGTTTTTGGCTAGTTTACAAACTAAACAGAAAATAACTAAAAACACCACCCAGACAGCCCACGACATCTTAAAGACGTCTGTTTTATGTCCTAGTTATGATTGAACATCTAAAGACCTAAAAAAGACGTCTTTTAAATGACTATCTATATAAAACATCTCCGCATCTGAATGAAAGTAATATTGGGGTTCCGTGGTTCGTAGCGTTTCGTGTTATCGTTTCGTTGTCATTTGTTATTGATGTTGAAGATAAAAGTCGTTTGTTTTTGTTATTCGTTGATTTTTTTATTTGTGTCTTGTGCCGTGGATTACTGTGAATTTATAGGCATAAAAGTTTACTGCATATACCGAAGAACCAAATAGAAGAGCCCTTATTTGTGTTTTAAATATGCGTCTATGCGTCTAGGGCTAACTTAGAAGCTTCATCGGATGAAAATATATCTAAATTAGAGTTTGAAGTACAGGAAAATTGCCATTCTTTGACCACCCTTAACCCACACTATCTTCTGAAGCATCTTTCAAAGCGAATTTGGCAGAGTGAGCAATAATGCAAAATATTTCACATAGCGCAGTTAAAATTATTGCAACCCAGACTGACTCAGAAGAGCATCAGACAGAAGATTAACCACTGATAGTGGAAGTATACAAAAATATTAATTGTAAATTTTTTTTAACGAAATGTTTCAGTGTATTGTTAATAATAATGTTTATAGAAAATATGTTAATTTTATTTTGAATAGAAGGAATTTACAGAAGCTTTTAAAACTGAATCCGAGAGTACGTCTTAGCAATGTCGAAAAACAGACATATTCAAGATGTCTTAAGAACGTTACCTTTTGTAACATCAGAAGTCTTAAAAATGTCTTTAAGACGTCTGGCCGGCATCATAAGACGTCTTTTAGACGTTAGTTATGGACATTTTAAAGATGTCTTTGTGCTGACTGGGCAGTGTCAAAAAAATTAAGTTCACTACAATCACTGTCATTCATCAATTTTAAATTTTGCGACTTTTGCTCGTAAACTTCCAAAAGTAGGTTTCCAAATTATTGCTGCCATTCATTTTTAATAACCAAATACCTATTCTTAAACAAATTTCACACTTACCATAAACTTAACCTCACTTTTCTAATAAATTAACCAAAGAGAATTGGCCACTTTACATACTAACTGATTAGTTGGTTATTTTATATTAATACGAATATTAAATTCACAACTTAAACAAAAACACCGGCTAATTTGTGTACTTTTCTTGTGATTCGTACTTTGGCAATAAATCCTGTACAGTTTATAAACTAGCAAGATGGTATACAAACCAACTAATATTTATAGCAATTTTAATAGAAATATGATCAAAATAGCCAGACATTTGGATAGTTTGTATACGAGTACTATCCAACTAGTCTATAAACTAACCAAGTAAACACTTTAACTGTAACATCTATAATATAAATTGAAATATAGAGCAATTACGCACTAATGGGATACCCTATATAATACTAAGTTCTACCTTTGTGAACGTCAATTAAAAAAAAAAAAATGGTGATAAATAGAGTACTTCCACTCATAGTTTTCTTTACATTAAAAAGGTGTTTTAGTGATGTTTTAGATAAACTTGTGGTATCACTCATCACTTAAAAAAAATAGACTAGGTAATTAATTCTAGAGCATTTTTAATAATCAAGGCATAATTAAAAAACGTAGGTACTATCTGCGAAATTTTAAAATTAAAATAATTTATCAAACATAATTATTAATTTATTAGTGTCATAAAAGGGGTGACAATTTAAAAAAATACAACTGCATGTACTAACTATATCACAAAAGTAAAACCTAATCTATAAAGTATATCCAGAGTTGGGCAGTATCCGAGTAAATTGTACTTAAAGTACTCGGTAATTGGTACTTGTAAGTACTTTTATCCTGATGGGACTCATACTAGAAACATTTTAAGTACTTTTCATTTTAGAGTACTCAGTATTTCTGCTTCCTACAGCTGACGAGTAATGAGAACAAGTACAAGTACCAACGGGCGCATATATATTATAACAATACCACCAGGGAAATGTTAAACCATTCCAATATCCTAGAGCTTCTAGGGTTGTGGCTAAAATTAATCGATAAATTTACTTTTACTTGTTCTTCTGCTGAACTCTCCTTCCTGATATTCGATTCACACTTATCTTCGATTTAAATAAAACTTTATATTTATTTTTTTTTTATTTCATCTCTACGATATAAAATGCTCAACTATAAAGTTGGATTTATAAACTTCGTTCAGTTCAACATAAACCAATCAGAAAGTGAGTAGTCATTCATTTATTAAAAAGTCTTTATTTCTGTTTTAAAATATATACATTGCAATTTAAAATCATTTCATTGGGTAGGTTCCCGGGGGGTACCTGGGTACCAGGCAGATGGTCGCTTGTAAACGATTTTTTTAGCGTTTTAGCAACTCCTTGTCAAATGACATTATTAGCATGTTTTGATTTTTACGCTGTACGCAGTAAATGACCTGAATTTGTGTTTGTGGTGTATGTTCGTTTTGTCTGGTCCCTTCTGGAAAAGCATTTGAGAAAATCAGAATTGTCGTGTGAGTGTGGGCGAAAAGTGTCTTCATTTTGGTTAGTTAGTTTCAAAATTCCTTTATTTACACTATGTACAATATAATTTTTATAATAACACATTATATACATAAAATAGAAGGATTTCTTCTCATACTGCCATGTGAAGTGTTCACTTCTGTAGTGGCCACCTAAGGAGACCACGACCGATGTTAGTTAAGGTCGTGTATACAACTGCTATTATTTATAGTTCTGGCTGGATGACTTCTCTTTGTTGAAGAAACAACATTATAAGTCAATTTTGGTGAGCTTACAGAGACGATAATGGAAAAGTAGTGGGTTTTTGTGTGATTTTAATTATTTCCCTGAAAAACCGATCGTAAACAACAGTTGTCCTTGTTTGTAAGTGCGTCTTGTAATAGTTTATGTGCATGAAGAACTCAAATCACTGGTCTACACAAGGGCCCCACCGTTCAGCACGAAAATCATATTCTCCGTGGACCATGGCTTTTATATCCTGAATCAGCCCGCTGTGATTGGCAGTCTTACCATCGATCACAATGGGAGGCATCGTGGATTTTTGTTTGTTCACTGTGTTGTTGTTTTTATTGTTGTTGCCTAAGTTAGCCTCCTTAGGGGCATTTTTGGGGTTGTTTTTGTCCGCAAAATTTTCAGTTATCGTCTCATCAATATTTTAGCCGTTTTCGGTATATGGTCTAAACTTGGGACCTTTTTTCTTTCGTTTCTTGACTATCTTACCGATTTCATCATCATTGTCCGACTCTGAGTCATCGGTAAGTGCTTGAAAGGCGTTAGTAGTTGTTGTTAGGGTTTTTATGGACTTTTCCCGCACTAGTTTGTGGAAATTGCTGCTGAACTTTTTTGGCATTATGAACGGCTCTTCTTTATTCTTATTAAACTGTTCGTCACCTTTGTGCTCCTCAATGTACTTAGCTCTCTCTGCAGCATTTCTTATCTCAAAGAAACTATTGGGCGAGTGTGGAAGGTTGTCAAATCGATTATCAAACCTTCTTTTGCGTGCTTCTGCCTCATTATATTCCTCTTCCGAGGTAACACTTCGAATCATATTCCAGTATGTTTTTCTCGATGGCTTTTGGTATATCGCCTTTGTTCACACGAATCTTTATCCTAGGGTCGCTATTTATCCTTCTTACAGCACCTGTGTTTGCTAAGGGTGTAAGTAGAGGTGATAGGGGTGATATTGATTATGGCTGAAGCTGCAGGAGAATGCACAGACGTAGAGCTACTCAGTTTACCCCGTGTCTGTACATTGCCCACAGTTCCAGTTGAGATTGTGTTGTTAGTCTGCACTGTATTCACCATAGGGTTGTTGCCTCCGAAATCCATTTGTCTTACTACCACATTAGAAGGTAGTTGTAGTGTTTAGAATTGTACTTTCGGCGTGGATTCATATACTCGGAGTTAAAATCACCTTCCCCGGTTCCCTTGTTTTCAATTATCGTATTCTCTAGACCAGTGTCCATTGACTCCTGAGAGTCGTTGGACGTATTAATCGACTCATCCGATTTTTCAAGTTCTTTAATTAGGCTTTCAGTAGTTTTATATACCGAATTTTCCGGCTTATCTACCGTTGGGCTGCCGGTAGGATTTTCGTGGGTGTCGTAGTAGCTATTATCATCTGACCCAGCTAGTGACTGTTTTCTTGAGGCTGTATCCCCGACCTCAGGGGTAGTATCCATAGTTGAGTCTTCTTCTTGTGGCCGTTCTAAGTCCTCAGGGTCATTTGAAGGGCAAACCGGCAAATTTTTGACCGGGGGATTCTCCTGGTCTTGTTCAATGACCTCAGGATTATTAGTAATTTTATTTAAGGTTTCTCTACTCACAGTTTGTGTGTTTAATTTCCTCTTTGCCTCTTTTCAGCATTAAGTCGGCATTTATTCTTGATTCTTTTAGCGTACTGAGTTTCAAAACCTACTGTAGGTATTGTGTTGGCCCCAACGGGCTCGGACATAAACCGAACTCTCTTTTCTATATGAGGGTACTTACACTGTCGCAAAGGTTTAACTAGGAAAGGAAAATATGTAGGGATAAATTTTTGTTCTGACAACTGACAGATGACGTTTAGAAATACAAAAGTTATAAGCTCTCGCCGCAAACGATACCTAGAAAAGTTCTAGGTGTACTCTCATAGCGAGCCACGAATTTTCGCATTGGACGATGACGTCACCGTGCAGTCCCGTCCGACCAAAGTTGCTAACTAGTCGACGTTGTGATTTGAGTATTCAGTGGGGTTTACGCTGCTATGGAGGATGTATGTCTATTGTAATGAATTTAATTTGGATCCTGTGTGTATATTGACAGTGCCTTGTGCAGGCATCCGTGGGTTTTATCAATACCATCGCCGTGATGCATGAAGGTAATGTGATTTTTAAGTTCAGGCCGCAGACATTTGTCGTACAAGCCCTCTGAAATCCTGAGAACATGGTCTTTGATAGTTTCCAAGGATGCTTGCACATGCATGTCGTGTATCCTGGCGTAACGGCCATACCCTAAGGCCAGTCGAAGACACTTGTTTTGAAATACTTGGAGCCTGTTAAAATATGTGTTCGCCATTGAACAGTAGACTGGACATCCATATATTAGAATTGGCCGAAGGACTTGCTTGTAAATTAATAGTTTGTTTTCCGCAGTTACACCGCTTCTTCCATGTAACATCGAGTATAGTGCCTTAAAGGCTCCGGTGGCCTTAGCAATTCTGTCTGCAATGTGTAGTTTAAACGTTAGCCTCCTATCCAAGATGAAACCTAGATACTCATCGAGTTTTTAGTGTCTATTGATTAGTTTTGCACTTTTAATTTCGTGATAATTCTGTCGTGCAATCTATGTGTTAAAATCAAACTTTCGGTCTTGATTTATTTTGATTTTGTTTGCTTGGAAATAGGGGACTAACGTTCTGTTCACATGAATGTCCAGCCTCCTGGTCGCGATCTCGGCAGTGTTTGATGATTTGTAAACACAAGTTTCGTCGGCGTACCATTTTGTCCCATAAGAAAATCATGAGTCATGATGGTGTACAGATGCGGAGCAAGTACCGAACCTTGGGGTACCCCCGCTTGCGCTGTGTATGGTCCTTTACGCGAATTGTAAATTTTAACGTAGAATTTACGGACTTTTGGGTATGTTTGAATTGTTTTTACAATGAAAACAGGGTAACTAATACGGTGGGTTTGTTTTGATTAAATGCATCTTTTGCATGTTGTGCAATTCGTATTATTTGTGCAATCGTGCTGTGACCGGCTTTGAAACCGTACTATTCTGCCGGTATAATCGTAGTGTTTTGTTCGTAAGTGTGTAGCCTTGTGAGCAGGACAGGATCTGTAATTTTGGTTAAGCCGTTAAGGAGAGATATAGGGCGGTAGCTTTCTATATCAAATCTGCTTTTACCCTGTTTGTGTATCGGGACCACATTTGCAACTTTCAATGCGTCCGGATACCACTGTAATTTGATGATTGCGTTGACAATGTAATGTATATGCACACATACTTTTTTTGATAAATTTTTAAGCAATTTGTTAGGAATATCATCAGGTCCTGGAGCCCTTTTACTGGGTGACTTTTTGATTATTTCGATGATTTCTCTAGATGTGGTAAGATATTTCGGAGAGACATATTGTACTGGCATTTGATTAATTTCCTCTACAAGATTCGTGAAATCGTTTTGTTCAGGGTGTCGTCATTTTGGATATTAATAATAAAAAAGATTTTCATATGCCGCCAATTTGCGTAGACAGTTGGTGGCATAGGAAAGCTTTTTTATTACTAATTTTAGGGAAAAAAGTTATTCTTTATAAAAAGTCGAGCATGGTCTAAAACCTAAAATACAACCATCAGATATCAAATTTTATCAGTCGTATAAAGAATAAAGGTACTTTACTCTTGAGTAAAACTCATATTTTTTGACAAACCTCGTATATCACCGAAAAAATTTGATATTTGATGACTGTATTCTAGGTTTTAGATAATCCAGAACTTTTTATGAGGAATAACTTTTTTTCCTAAAATTAATAATAAAAAAGTGTTCCATATGATTCCAACCTAGGGGGACATACTGTATAATGTAATTTGACGATCGTTTTTTTGCTGCTGTTTTTTAGCATAATATTTGTTATTCCGTCAGGTCCCGCGGCCCTTCTTTTACGTAATCTCCGCAGTGCATTCGTAAGTTCCAGAGGATTTGTAAGATCCTTTATGGGGACCGGTTATGTTGGTTTTTTAAATTATTTTCAATGGTTTCAATACGTTGTTGGCTTTCATTATTTTGAATTAAATTTTTAAAATGGTTTTTTTTAATATTCTCCGAATGCTTTCCCCTTTTCTGAGTTCATCAGGTATGTGTTTTGTCCTTCTTCCAAGGTGGGAAGTTGCTCAAAGGTTTTTTGAAGCTTTTGACAACTTTCCACTGTGAATTGTTTTGTGTGTTTAAGTCTGCTAGTGTCTTTTGTCATGTGTCGTTACGATATTTCTTCATATTTGAATTTATAAAACTAGCTATGTCCATGGGTCTTATTCTTCTGACCGTCTGTAAGTTTGACAGCGCTTGCCTGTTTTTTTTTTTGTTTGATTTTATCAAGTATTTCTTGTGAAAGCGTTTCTTTTCTTATTTTATTATATCGGAGTTGTGTTGTTCTGTTTCTGACAAGTTTTAGTGTGTTGGATCAGTTTATTTCATTCTCTACTTCTTGTCCTGTTGTGATGTTGTTTATTCTCATATTATTGTCCAAGATTCTTCTATATTTTATCCAGTTCGTCGTTGTGTGGTCGTAAAAGGGAGTAGGCATAGTGCGTGTTGTCTTGATTTCTATGTACACCGGATCATGGTTAGAGTTTAGCGTGGGAATTTTCCTAACTGTCGAGACGTTAGTTATGTTTTTTGTTACCGCTATGTCCAATGTACTCGGTGTACCTCCTGAAAAGGGAAAATGTTGGTAATTCGATTTAGTGAATTATTACATTATAATCTGCGAATTTTTGTAGTACGTTACCGCTGACGTTTTTTCTCATACAGTTGGAATCCCAGTCAGAATGCTTACTATTGAGATCACCCAACAGGATGAGCCGGTTTCCCAGCGACATCATTGAGTGCAGATCCCTGCGTGTTATATTATTGTGTGCTTTTATTATTACCCAGTTACTGACTTTGATTATCAAATGTTCAATGTTAGTATTTATATTAGGTATTAATTGACGATTTATATTATTTTTAATCAAGAAAGCTATCCCTTTACCTCTCTGATTTAAGCAATCCTGCCTTAAGACAGTGTAGTCACGTAGTTTTAGTTTGTTATTGGTTTTAAGAACCTTTCAGATATCATTATTATGTCGAAAGAATGACTTTGCATGAAATTACTGACCAGTGACAATTTAGCTACGAGCCCGTGCGCATTGTAAAAAAATATTTTGTATGTTACGTTTTGTCTGTCTAGTTCCTCAAATTGTACGAATTGATGGTCTGTTCAAAGTCGTAGTATACTCTAAAAAGGTGAAGATTGTGTATGGTATGTCTGATTTTTGTGTTCAGATCAATTACTGCGCGAGCTACAATAGTTCTGAAAGGTTAACTAATGAGTTAAGCGCTTCAAATTCTTTATTTAGGCCAAACATATCGTCCATGTTCATTCCTGTGTTGGCCGATTGCTTGTTTTGGGGGTGATATATCGCTTCCGATGCGTTTTGGTGGGGAGTTTGGCCTCTGCTTCATCCTTGGCCTCTCGGTGGTAATGGTGGGAATTCCTCATTGTTTGTGAGAACTTTTGTTTGTGGTGTCCCATGCGTGCTCCCTTGGTGCTGTAGTGGAAATATACTTTTTTTTGTTGCTGGTTTTTCCTACTTACTGTTCTCTCTAGATAAACTCTGCATTTGAAGTGATTTGCGGGGTGGTATCCGGTGCAGTTGGCACACGTTGCCGGTGTGTCTCTTGATTTGACACATGTTCTTGTATGGTGCTCCCCTGCGTACTTCGGTCGTTGACGTTCAGTTGACGCTGAGAGATGACCAACTTTTATGTTCGCCGTTCGGCTGCGAACGACGAGCCAATGAAAAACACGTATTTGGTTATTTGACCACGCATGCGTCAACGCTATCCTAAAATGACATGGTAGGTTTGTTTTGGATACGAAATTCAACGACTTTATAAATTGGGCCCAGAGCGAACTCACCAACGCAAGCGTAGCGTGAACTGAACGCCAATTGACCCGAGGTTTATAAATCCAGCTTTATAACTGTTTATCGTATCTTCAATATAATATTTTCTGACTTTTTTTTTTAAATTTCCCAACTGTAATTCTAAAACCTTTCCAAAACCTCTCTGATAATTCTATTAATTTTCAAAATACCACTACCATTGGCGTCACAACCCAATAAGGCAAAAGTACTCATTTGCTTTGAGTATTATTCATATAAGTACACATACTCAGAAACCTATGACTACTTTGTAAAGCTACTCATTGTGAAGTATTCATGAATACTTTAACGCAATACTTTGCCCAGCTCTGGGTATATCTTATATCTTTAAAAAGCATTTTACTAGCTTTCCAATGATGTATGATAAGTAGGAGGTATGTGGCACATAATGGTTCATACGGATGAGTTCTGTATTTTGATATTTAAGTTCCCCCTTCGCATCCTAAAAACGATTTTAAAAATTTCTGTTGTCATCTTTAGTTCACGAGATATAACCATTGTAGGTTTTTAAATTGTCACCCCGTCATTAAGTTCATACCAAACATTAATAAAAACATATTTTGATCTAAGACTTATTAATATTGATTTTAAATTACCATCATCAGGGTTCTCCCAAAGAGAAGCAATCTTTGCGACAAAAGGTAAATCATTTTTTCTTGGTCCTGCTTTTAACAGAACACAGTCTCTAGGAACAATTTTGTCACCTCCAAGATGTCTCATTGCTGGAAAACATTTCCTCATAACAGTCAACTCATCACTCTAAAAAATAAAAAAAATAGTTTACTTCAATGAAACTGATATTTTAACAAAATAATAATGAAAAGAGTAGGTCTGAGAGCTTAACTTTATTAAACGTAACGTTTCGATTCGATGTACTGAGGAGTACAGAACTAGGGGAACCCGAAAAAGGTCAGTCAGTCATGTAGAGCCGCACTTAAATAAAGAAATAATAAAAAGCGTGTAAAATTAAATTGTATTTTTTAATCTTTGCTGATTAGATGACTCGGCACTTTTCTTATGAAAATCACCGTCAAATTATTTGAATATCTTAGTACCCGATGTCCTGATTAAAAGTCTTCATGGTCTCAATCCTATCCTATAGCTAGATTTTAACATAGAGGCCGTTGAAGTTAAAAAACCTGGCTTCTTTAAAACGGACACCAGAAGATCCTTTCAAATATTTTTGGAAGTTACGGACTTATATATGTACATATTAAATAATCAAAATCCAAATATTGTTATTTATGCTTCCACATATCTGTTTTGGTTAAAATATGTATTTTTACACTACATAGCATAAAATATCACCAATAAGAAAGCCAAACAGAAAAAGGGCTCAGTCTGATGAAGAAAAGAAAATGTTTTTACTCCAGTCCAAGACAACATACAAAACAATAATGTAGAAGATTACCCAAAAATTCCATGTCAGCTTTCATGAGATTATTTCCCCCAGTAGAAGTATATGAGATCATGCAGACTAATCCGTACAAGGCACTTGGTTACGATCTAATAGTTGGAGAGATTGCAATAATTGGTATTATTATTAGAAAAACTATAAAGAATTTCACAAAAATTCTAAAAAGTATTTTTAATGTTTTAACTAAATATCCAAATAGAAAACATACGTATTAAAAAAAACCAAACAATTAGGTTATTACTCCAGTCGAAGGTTTACATTGAACTAAAAAATTATACAAGGTAATATGTTGATAATAATTCATCTATCACGTAAATTTTGGTTTAAATAGACTGTTGATAGTTGACAAGAGAGACTTTGAGTAAGGACAGCTGCCCAAATTCTTGTTTAGAACCTTATAGGTCCGGAAACACTTTAATGTGCAAATTTTTGTGCAGAGTGTTGTTTTGTGACAATTAATTGATTTCCATAAAAACGCCATTTTTTTTCATTTTCGTCCCAAGTTTATATTATCTTACATTTATCATGTCTTATTCAGAATGTGATATATAACAACTGAAGATTCTCTGATTAAAAATGAGACGATTAAACGAAATATGCTTAGATAAAATATTACTGGTTTCCGAAATACAGGGGTCTGACCTAGAACGAGTCACAGCATCAGGAGAACTCCTAAGTCTACCTAAGTTACACTTGCCATGAAAAGAAATGAGGTGGCCAAGTGCGAGTCGGACTCGATCATTAAGGGTTCCGCACCATCGTACAAGATTTAATACTATGTAGGTACTTTTTAAATACTTTATTAAGATCGAGCAAAAAAAGCAAAAAAAAAAAACACGTTTCTAGGGGGCGCCCTTTCATTTTTAATTTATTTTTATTATTTGTTGTTATAGCGGCAATTGAAATATACATTCTATGAACATTTCAACGTTCTACCTATTACGGATCATGAGATACAGCCCGCTGACAGACGGACGGACAGTCGAGGTTTAGTAATGGGGTCCCGTTGGTTACCCTACGGGTACGGAACCCTAGTAAAAACCATACTTTAAAACAGGTACGTGAAAACCATAGACATTATATTATTTAAGACAGACTCGCCTTCACACTATTTAACCAATTCACTGTATGTCCGCATCATATACCAGACGCACATAGGCGTAGTGTTTCCTAAACATTTAATTTTACAAAAACTATTTATTGATCAAATCTTAATAACCTTCACACGTTCAATAGATCTTCTAAATCAAAGATACATTTAAAGAAACAATTTTCAATATATACAGGATATTCAAAAAGCCCTTCTGTATATTTTCTTATAGATTAAAATAGCAGCTCAAATTGGAGAAACAGTTTTATTAGAATTTGAAAGTGCTAAATTGCTGTTTCGTTAATCTAGTATTACTGTTAAAAAATCTGATGTGTCCAACACATGACTTTCCTATCTAGTTATTATAGGCTTTTTCCGGTTATTTTGTACAACCTATTGCAGCACCTCTATAAATGTTTAGAGGATAAACTAAATATATACATTTTCTACATACATCTACTTCGAAACATTTTTCTATAGATATTCATTGAAAACGAAAATACTGAAAAATTAAAATTTAGCACTTTTCCTACAATTTTTCCATTACGATCCATTTTACAAAAATTATAGAGATCGATATCACAAATAACTTTTCATAAAAATCAGAATTTTGCACATTTTGTCAAATTTCTCGAATACGGACCATTTCAGGAAATTTTGATATAAGGGAAAAATTATAGATAATAATATTAGAAGTAACTTTTATTTGAACAATTTTCTTCTCCAAACATAAATAGGAGACATATTCCATAAAATATAAAAATGACCACCTGTAAAGTACCCCTCCAGATGTTCCGACTCTGTCAAAAATCTAATCAGTTCATTGGACGCTGGAATAAAGCTTAAGTTTAAAATTTGGTGTTTTTCTGTGTATCGGTTCATGAGTTATGGTGGATACAGACACACACAGACACATACACACAGACATCATCGCGAAAATAGCCAAAACGGATTCAGGGGACCTCAAAACGTAACAATTCGTCGAAAACTCGAGGTCGAAAAAAATCATGATTCCTATACTTTCCTTATATCTGTATGCAGATAGGAAAGTAATAAAGCTATTTATTATTATTTTTACGATATTGTTAGGACTACCATTCTTTATGAAATACAAAATTTATTAAAAACATATTTCAGACATAAGTATACAAATAGGATCTTACCAAAACATACTCTTTGTATTGCACGTCACAACACCTACTTTCAGCGTCTGTATAACGGTATGATAACTCTTTTAAGACATCAATCAGCGACAAGTTTATACATGCCTTTACAATGTTAGATAAATCAAGCCTTATTCCCTATATATACTTCCGTCTCTGATAACAAAACCTTACCTATGAAATGATCGAAAAACATTCTTATTACAAATATTTTAGCACACTACACTAAACATTTCCTCACCATCCTAAATGTCCTTATAAACTGTTAAATATTCAAATTATTCTCGAAAGACTCAAAAAACCACAATAAATCTTAAGCTCACTTGACGACGTCAATGAAATGTCTTAGGTTGCCAAACTTAAAGGTTATGAACCAGAATGTTCAATATCCACATACATATGTAAAATACGATAAAAATCTTAAGTGATTGTAATGAATAAAAAACTCACATTGGTGCTTTTAATTCTTGAATTTTCTTTTTTTTTAATAGATCATATAGCAAATTTTTTAATAAAAATTTAATGCAGAATATTTGATGGTAGAGATCTGGCAACATGTTGCGGACAAATTTAATGCAACCAAAGCGCATTATAATAAAAGCATGGGCAGTAACAATAACATTATAAATCTGGTCATTTCCAATCAGGGAGCCTGGTCTTCCTGAGTGAAAACTGAGGGAGAAATTCTTTCTAATACAATAGGTATAAATCTGTGATTTGCGCCACAAATTTCAGAACATTGTCCACATTCCAAATAAAATAGTTGCCCATGGGTTATGTGGGCCTTGTGATTTGACAGGATCAATGACATAGATAGTTATATGGATTGATCATCCATGTTTTTCAAAATAAACATAAGCTCATGCCTTGAAATAAAAATGTAGGTAATTATTTTTTTAATATATTCAAATTGATTTTGAAACATTTTTGCTAAACCGATTCTGATTAATGAGCACTTGCGACTCGTTTTAAACAATCTATATAACCTGTCAAAACCAACAGACAGGTTTTCCATATCATAACCCATAGGTCGTTGGAGTGCCAATTCTGTCCGACATCTTTGGTGAAAGCTTGAATAAGGAAAGTTAAAATGTAATCTTAGTTTAAACTGTGAACATCATTATATCGGTTGTTTAAATATATAGTTTTAAAATTACATTTTTTTTGTACTTTAAATAAAATCCTCCGAGTATACAACCAATTAAAAATTAAACTCCTGTTAGCTAAACTGAGTTTACAGCATTCTTTGTACAACCCGCCGTAAGTAATAATATTTTAATTATTAAGTACCTAAGTATTTTCTATAAATATATATAAGACACTTGTTGGTGTCCATTTTAAAAAAGTTATTATTTTTAACTTCAACTGTATGTAGAAATCTAGAGATAGGACTGAGCCCATGTAGACTTTTAATCAGGAAATCGAGTACTGTAACTCATAAAAAAATCAGTTAATTTGACAGTTTTCTCGTTTGCATAAGAAAAATGTGGGATCCTTCCAGCATTTGCTATCTTATAAATATTAAACTAATTATTAGAAAACATCAAAAACGGCCAACAAACATTATTATTTACAAACTTTATCACTTGAATATAAATATGTATTCAACCTTGAAGAAGAAAATAACGTTTAGAAAAGTCGGAAATTAAAAAAGCTTCAGAATTTTATTTTTCTAATTTCCGGTATTCTTTACACCACATTATATGTATATGAAGTGATTCAATAGTTATTTGTGTAACTAGTGCAAAAAGTGTATCTTGCGGAGTGCAACAAATATGCTTTTTGCACGTGTTGCACACAATATTTTTTCTACGATCGAAATAAAATATACTCTTATATCAAATTTTATTAGAATATTTTACAAAAGGTACAACAAAAGATTATTTTTATATTTTACCTTCATCATTAAATATTTACTGTCGGGAGCTTCAACTAAAAACTTATCAAGTTGCTCTCTTGAAAAAACTTTGGACTTTTTGGGGCGATACCCTACCGACTTCTTCTTTAAAAAAGGAATTAATTTTTGAAAATTTCGAATTTCCACATTATTGTTTATTAAAAGTGTAGCCTTTAGCATTGAGTACTTTGA